CGCTCTCCACACCCCCATTGCCCACCTCTTCTCAAGCAACCGCGTCGCCTTCCTCTTCCTCCTCCGAACCCCCCTATTCGCGGGAGCCTCCTCAGGCGTGCACACGTGTCACCACTTCTGCGTCGTCCGGCGATAACAGCCCCAAGGGTCTTCGCGACAGCAGTGGTAACAGCGGTAACAGCGGTAACAGCAGCGACAGCGGCAACAGCAGCAAAAATGGTAACAGCGGCAACAGCAGCAGCATCGGTATCAGCGGGAACAGCAGAAGCAGCGAGAACAGCAGCAGCAGCAGCGGGAGCGGGAGCGGGATCGGGAGCGGGGGGAGCAGCTCTAATGCCGCTGCTACGGGCAAGAAGCAGATTAAGACCAAACCAGTGGTGGTCCGCGACGGCGACACGGCATGGGACATCTCCCTGCGCTTCGGGCTCACTCTAGACGACCTATTGTCTCTTAACTCACACATCCCGGACCCCCTGTACCCGGGCGACCAGCTGCTGCTGCCTGCTGACGCCGTGGAGCGACCGAGAGCGCTGGTGGCGCTGGCAGGAGTTAAGGCGAAGGTGAAAGGGACCATGAGGAATGCTAACTTCTGGGACGTGTTTCCGCCACCCAGGAGTGAGTGGGAGGGAGAGGGGGGGGTTGAGTGAGTAGGGTTGGGACCATTTAGGGGGGTAGCGCTGGAGCGACCTGGCGTGCTGGTGGCGCTGGCGGGAGTTAAGGCGAAGGTTAAAGGCGCCACGGGGAATGCTAATTTCTGGGACGTGTTTCCGCCACCCAGGAGTGAGTTGGGGGGATGGGTTGTGAGGTGTTGAGTAGGGTTGGGACCAGTGAGGGGGGTAGCGGTGGAGCGACCTGGCGTGCTGGTGGCGCTGGCAGGAGTTAAGACGAAGGTTAAAGGCACCATGAGGAATGCTAATTTCTGGGATGTGTTCTGGCCGCCCAGGAGTGAGTTGGGGGGATGGGTTGTGAGGTATTGAGTAGGGTTGGGACAAGTGAGAGGGGTAGCGGTGGAGCGACCTGGCGTGCTGGTGGCGCTGGCAGGAGTTAAGACGAAGGTTAGAGGGACGATGAGGAACGCTAATTTCTGGGACGTGTTTCCGGCGCCCAGGAGTGAGTTGGAGGGGGGCGGGTGTGAGTGAGAAGGGTATGGTGATTGGGGGGGAGAAGGGGGGGGGGGTGTGAGTGAGTAGGGTAGGGGTTAGTGGGGGGGAGAAGGGGGGGGGGGTGTGAATGAGTAGGGTAGGGGTTAGTGGGGGGGAGAAGGGGGGGGGGTGTGAATGAGTAGGGTAGGGGTTAGTGGGGGGGCAGCGGTGGAGGGACTGAGGTCTTTGGTGGCGCTGGCAGGTGTTAAGGCGAAGGTGAAAGGCACGATGAGGAATGCTGATTTCTGGGACGTCTTCCCGCCGCCCAGGAATGAGTGGGGGGCCGGGGGAGGAGGGGAGAGGGTGTGGGGGAAAGGGTGAGTGATTAGGTACGGGTGAGAGGGGGGGTTTGGGGGGTGGAGCGACCAAGGGCGCTGGTGGCGCTGGCAGGCGTGAAGGCGACGGTGAAAGGCACGATGAGGAGCGCTAATTTCTGCGGGGGGAAGGAGGGGGGGCGTGAGATGGCAGTAAGCTTCATTGAACCCGCTTGTTTGCTTACCCTCTTACCTTCCATTCCCCAACCATCCGGCCAGACATAGACGCCTACCGCCACCGCTACCGCGTGCTGCTGGACGCCATGCGATACGTGGAAACGAGCTTCATTGAACCCGCTCCTGTCGGGGACGACGGGCTCTCCATCGGCCCTCTGCAGATCAGGTATGCGTGCACACACATGAGTAAAAGCATGCACTGTTTTTCTGCAAGAGAATGTAGGCATCCTGATCTCTGCTCAGTGGCCATACAGCTTCATTGAACCTGCTCCTCCCGGGGACGATGGGACTCTCTATCGGCCCTCTGCAGATCAGGTATGTGCGCACACATGCGAACTTACATGCGCACACACATATGCACACAGACACATGCGCTACGTGGAAACAAGCTTCATTGAACCTGCTCCTCCCGGGGACGATGGGCTCTCTATCGGCCCTCTGCAGATCAGGTATGTGCGCACACATGCGAACTTACATGCGCACACACACATGCACACAGACACATGCGCTACGTGGAAACAAGCTTCATTGAACCTGCTCCTCCCGGGGACGATGGGGCTCTCTATCGGCCCTCTGCAGATCAGGAATGTGTGCACGCACATGCATTTACATACAGGCACACACACATTTACACACACACATGCGCACGCACATGCACACACACATGCGCACACACATGCACACATACACACATGGATACAAGCATTCGCATGCACATGGTGCAGCCAGTCAGTCATGCACATGCTCAACTCCACCCAGTGGCCTCCTCCTCTCTGTCTAGTGACCATACAGCGGTCTTAGACTCAAAACTCATTAGCTCCACAGTCCACTCACTCTCCTCCCCCACCCACTGGCATTTATCCTTCACCCCACCTTTCCCACACCGTCTCCTTCCCTCGCCTGGTCTCCTCGCCCCAGTGACGACTACCACACGGACGCGTGGTGGCTGGAGCACCGCCCTGCGCTGTGCTACGAGGACTGCCATTGGTCGGTGGAGCACAGCAAGCGCACCGCCCATCAACTACTGGCTGCGCTGCACTACTGAGTCCACTCAAAAGCACCCCAACCCCCCACCCCCAACCCCCCTTTCCCCCCCTTCCAGCAACGACGACCACACGGATGCTTGGTGATTGGAGCACTGTCCCCCTCTGCGCTACAAGGACTGCCTTTGTTTGGTGTTTTGGTGGAGCACAGCAAGCACACCGCCATCAATCACTGGCTGCCCTACTTGAGTCCACTCAAAAGCACCCCCCCCCTTTCTCCCCGCCCCACCTCCCTTTTCCCCCTGTTTCCAGGGAGCACAGCGAGCGCACTGTTATCAAATACTGGCTGCGCTACCCGACTCGACTCAAAATCCCCCTCCCCTTTCCCCGTGTCTCCAGCAACGATTACCACACGGACGCGTGGTGGCTGGAGCACCGCCCGCCGCTCTGCTACGAGGACTGCCATTGGTCGGTGGAGCACAGCGAGCGCACCGTCATCAACTACTGGCTGCGCTACTGCCCCTGGTCCCTGGAGTTCCACGACCATGAGACGCTCGCCCGCACGCACAATGGGGGCCCGGGGTTTTACCGATACATCAAGACAGCCACTTACTGGTGAGACCTTTTTGGGGAGTGAGATTGGTGTGTCGAACTGGTATTTGTTCTCCATCTTCCCTCCCCTCCTCTATTTCTCTTCCCCCCCATCCCTCCTTGCCCCACTCCCTCTCTCTCCTTCTCCGCCTCCCTGCTTCCTAGTCCTAACCTCACTCTCTCCATCTCTCCCCTTTCCCTCCCGGAATTCATTCCCCTCTCCCCTTCCTCCCCCCCAAATTACTACATCACGATCACAGGCGCAAGGTAAAGAGCGCAATGCGGCATGCGGGATGGTTCCGAGTCATGCCCGAATTTGACCCGCATCTATCATCGGCACACCTCCACCCGCACGGCATTCTTCCCTTGTTCCAAAAGCACTTTCCGTTGACCATAGCCATGTTGGAACCAGAGCCTTCTCCAGGACAGCATCAAAGCTAATGCCGGCTTTTCCGTTTAATCATCACTACTAGAAAGGGCTGCGGTGAAGCGCAATCTAATTTGGAGAAGAAAATGCTGTCTATTCAATGGACTTAAACGCCCATATGGATTCAATTATATGCCTATATATTATGTTGAATGCATTTTGAATGAGAGTTTCGTTTGTTTGTCGAGATAATTATATTAGTGTTCTGCTTCTTCAACGGTCGTCTGTTTTGTCGGTTGATAGGCAGGGGCAGCCACCGCTGCGACGGATTTCACATAAAGCGACAAGTAAAACCGACGACCAACGGCGAATCGCTTGGTGGAACGACCCACCGTCGCAGGCAGCCTCCCACCGCGTTGCATCCCCCCTTCGTGCGACAGCAGAAATCCTCGCGGTGGCGGCTGTATGCAGGTTTGGGAGGAATTGGCGAAAATTTCCCCGTTGGCGAAAGCGCGGCCTCAGCTTTTGCGCGACCTTCAAATTCGGAGAAATTGGACATGCGAGCATCGAATTCACAAGCCATCCAGCAGCAAACTAAAATCACCTCGCCATTCTCCTTTCATTCTGCTCATTCTGCTTGTTCTGCTCGTTATCATCCCCACCGAGTTCGTCCTCTACGTCGCTGCTCGTTATCGTTTGCAGTCACCTGAGCCAGTCTTTGCCCGCTAGGTCGATCACTTAGAACAACATCGCGGATCCTTACCGCTCTATTTCGCTCTCCTCTGGTTGTAAACTCGTACGATAGCTCCCATCTCCGCACCTCTCTTTGGAAAATGGGTGCCATGCATCGCTTCGCCGTGCTGCTACTAGCCGTTGTGGCCGTGTGCCACGTCAGCGACGTGTCAGCGCTGAATCCTGGGGAAGTGGGCCGCGCCATCAGCATCATCACGAAGAGGCCGGAATACCGGTCAATGTTCACATTCGTCGACGACTATTGTACGTTGAGCGACACCTCTCTGCGCACAAGAGTCGTCGTGATTCCCTCCATCGGCGCAATCCCTCCTTGCCCATATCCCGCTTTCCCGTCCTTGTCCCTCCCCTTTCTCTAATCCCGCTTTCCCGCCCTTGCCATTTCGAATCCCGTCGTAGATTGTTTCAAAGACACATTTCAGTTTCCAATGCTCATTCACCGGCTTTCTTCTCGCGATCCGTTTTCAACCTCTCCCCACCAGTGAAATCTCTCATTCCCTTGACGGACCTGACCGTTCTGCTGCCCGCCAACGTGGGGCTGCTCGGCAACTACACCAAGGACGAGCAGACGACCATTCTCTCGTACAACACCATCGCCACGCGCTACATCTTCCGCAACTTCACCACCATGGCGGCCGGCACGGAGCTCGACACTCTCGAGGGCAACACGATCATCAAGCGCGGCCCCAGGGGCCTGCCGACCGTCACGTTCAAAGGCGCAGCGAAGCTGCCGACCGTCCTGGCGCTGCCGAACCTGTGGGTTGGTACGGACTTCACGATCCAGGGCACGAGCACGCTGCTGATCCCCCCGGAGCTGCTGACTCCCGAAGCTGACACCATCCGCGGGGCTGTTCGAGGCACTCTCCGCGGTACCGTTGGGGTCGCCATGGGCGGTTTTGGTGCCCTTTTCAGGCCGGCTGGTCCCCCCTAGGTGATCTGGAGCCAATCATTATCGTCCGGCTAATCACGCTTTCGCCAAGCAGGGAGTTAGTAGGAACCTTGATCTAAGCTGACTTCTAAGAGGTACTCCTAGCATGAGTAAGAGCTGATTATATATACATGTAAAAACATATATAAAATGACGTTATCATGAGAGGAACTTGCGTGATACTTGAGCCGAATAATGTGAATGATTGCGAGAATTAGGCCCATAACCTACAATAACCAGACCAGATAGCAATCAGCACAAGTGTTTTTCTCGCAATATAGTGTAGCTTGCAGAATTTCATTGCAACTAAATCAGGTACACGGGTCAATCTCATCTCTTAGGTCATGGACGTGCTTTCGATCCTGACAACAATTCACGTGGCGCGTCGTAACAGAGTAATACATGAAGCACCGTGGCGAAACCAGCCACAATTGCTCAACCTGCTGAACGGGTTTCGCGACAGCCGACATCGCGACTCGGCTACAAAACAAGGAGCACGCAACATGCGACCCGAGTGGGCAAATTCGAATCACTCCCAACATTGGAAATTGTGCGCGCGTTTTCCCCCCACTGTACCCACCTGCTCTCCGACCATTCCATCACGGTACCTGCAGTCACGTACGCCACATCCAATCTGCCCGCGCATCAAGTGCGGGTTTCCATGGCACACTCATTTCTAGCGCCCATAAAGTGCCATCAACATCCATCACTATTTCTTCCGCAGTCAGCTCGAAGATAAACGCTTGGGTCACGAGAACGCAAATCCTTCTGACGGCGCTAGGGCTAACATTTTCATTGCTGCCGACAGGCCTTCTCGATAGGAACCGACGGATCTAGTTGAAGACCGACGATCACGCACTGCTCGACGACGGATAGGCTAAACTAGCCGGATCCATCTGTAGGCAACACACTTCGCGTCTGCAGAGAACTAGTCTACTGTGTGACATTCTTGACATAAGTAGTAGATGCATCGATTGAAGAGAGATTATCAACCAGTGAGCGTATGCAATAGGTTTTTTGGCTGTTTATAGCACTCTCGCGTAGCAAATCGTCCAATTCCCCACTTCGCTTCAACTACGAGACAGTTTGGTCCCACCAAAGCACGACTTTTTTCCAAACGGTCATCATGCGAGTCGCAATCAGGCTCGCGCTGCTGCTGTGCCTCGTCGCCGTGCTGTCGTCCCTACTGCTCCCCGTCGCCAGCAGCAGCAATATCAGTCCCGGCGGGCCCCTTCGCGGTGGGGTCGCAAACGGCGGTGCGAAGACGCCTCCGAACGCTATTAACGAGGGTGAAGATGATGACGAGGATGATCTGCTGGAGGTGCTGCAGGAGGTCGGCAAGCTCGGGAACTACAGCTTCTTCACCAACCAACTCTTGACGTCACGTGAGTCAACATGTTATCAATACACCTTATGAGTTTTTTTTTTTTCGCAATGCACTTATGGAGCTAATCATAAGGGAGCTCGGGAGCTACATTTACTTCACCAGCCAAATCTTGACGTCACGTGAGTCAGTACACTTCAGCTTACTTTCTGTACACTTATGAGCAAACTTCTTGCCTCATCAGCTCGTGGCTGCGTGAGGAATCCAATTCGTTATACCGCTTCCTAGGGGAATTCCTGTCTTGTTCTCAGCCTCAGCAATGTCTCCATCGCAACACCTTAGAGCACTCTTGATGCATCCGTCGCGATCCCTCCTTCCAACGCTTTCGGGACTCTTCTCCCCTTGTCCCCGCAATCTTTTTATTTTTTTCTACCTTCCTCTTTCCTGCTCCCACGCTCCCCGCCATGATGTTTTTGCGAGCAGAAGCGTTTCCCGAGTTCAAATTACCCAAGCCGCCCAAGAAGGGCAACGGGACGAAGAACGGAGGCGGGTTTCGGCTGATTAAGAAGAAGCGAACCATTTTCATGCCAGTCGACACCGGGATGATTCGCGTGACGCTGCAGTCTTACCCGCGCGACGTGGCGATGAAAATCTTCAGATTTCATATCGCGAAGGGGATGCACGATTTCATGGAGCTCAAAGCGTTACCATCTCAAGCAAAGCTGCCGACGTACGAAGGCGGATTGATCACGAAAGTTTCGCGAAAGAATACGAAGCTGATCGTGCAGCTGAAGGGGAAAGGGTTTATTCCGACGACGATTGTAACGGGCGATTTGCAGCGAGGGCGTAACACCATCGTACACGGTATAACGTCCCTCATGCTTCCGCCCGACTTGTAGCGGAGCTGTCTCAACGCCGCACCCTCGCTTTTCTGAAGCAGAGACGAAGATTCCTATTTTCAACTTCCTTCAAAGGGCGTGTCGCCGGGATCAGCGGAGGGTAAATAAAGAATCGTCCAAGAGGACGTGATACGTGTCGCATAGACGACGCATACTAGCTGGAGATATCGCACGGGGAGGCATTATCAGCCCCACAGGCTTGCTGCTGCGGTTTTCACCAAATGCATGATGGAACCGCTAGGGGTTGCTCCAGTTGTACACCCCTTGCATGTAACTTTGTTGTATTAAAAGAAAGCCATTATACATCATTGGTTGGAAGTAGGAGCGAAGTACCATTCCACAGCACATCCTCTTATTGCAGTGCATAATCTTATTGCCTATTGGCCTGACATTTTCACAATTTGGTACAACACAACGCCCTCACGAAGGAGTTAGAATGCAGCAATCCCTGTCCCATATTCAGCTGCCTCCAGCAGTTCGGCAGCTTGACAAAAATGGAGCTGATGCCATGCGTCAATTATGCTGGTCGTTACTCTTGACCCCCCTCCCCTTCCTCCTCGCCCCCTTCCCCTTGCTCCCCTTACTCCCCATGTTCCCCTTGCCATCCCCTCTCTTCCCACCCACCCCCATCTCCCTCCCTTCCGCCGCCAGCAGCAGCTGAAGAGCCTCGGAATGCCCGAACCTCCTCGCCAGGCCCGACGCACGCTCGCCGTACGGCCCAGGCACGGCAGCAGAGGCGCCTGCAGCCAGCAGGGCTTGAATGAAAGGGGAGGAGCCATGGCGTGCGGCTATGTGCAGCGCTGTGAGCCCGTAGGCGTTTTGCTTGTTGATGAAAGTGGGCGAGGGGGGAGGGGGAGGAGGTGGGGAGGAGACAGGAGGGGGAGATGGAGGGGAGGAGAGGGAAGAGGAGGCGGGCGAGGAGGAGGGGGAGGAGCTGGGGGAGAATGTTGCTGTGGTGGTGGAAGAGGGCTCGGGTGGGGAACCAGGGATGGAGGAGGACGTTTCAGTAGTTGAAGATGCTTCAATCGTGGCAGGTGCTTCACTGCTAGCAGGTGCTTCACTGGTAGCAGGTGCTTCACTGGTAGCAGGTGCTTCACTGGTAGCAGGTGCTTCACTGGTAGCAGGTGCTTCACCGGCAGGAGGCTCAGTTTTTGCAGGTGCAGCAGTTGGACTGTGAGTCGTCGGCTTGTCTAATTGTGGTGTGTTGGGTGTGGGGCAGCCATGTGAGAGCAGTGTGTGGAGCACGTCCCTGTGGTTGGAGAGAGCTGCTGCCATGAGGGGGGTCCAGCCAGACCCTGGAAGAGAGGGGAGTGTGAGAGTGTGAGAGGGTCATAGGACAAGCATGAGTGTGTTGGCCTGTGTGAGAACAACGTGTGGAGCATGTCTGTGTGGTTGGAGAGAGCTGCTGCCATGAGCGGAGGGGGGGGGGGAGTAGGGAGAGCAGAGAGCAGAACGGAGTGCAAAAAACTAAGTCTGCATCCCGTGTGAGAACAATGTGTGGAGCACGTCCGTGTGGTTGGAGAGAGCTGCTGCCATGAGGGGGGTCCAGCCAGACCCTGTTACGGGGGGACAGGGGGGGGGGGGGGGGAGGAGCAGAGAGCAGAAAGGAGTGCAAAAAACTATGTCTGCATCTTGTGTGCCAGCAGCGTGTGCCAGCAGCATGTGCCAGCAGTGTGTGCCAGTGTGTGCCAGCAGCGTGTGCCAGCAGCGTTAGCAGTACGTGTGCGTGGTTGGAGTCTGGGAGCGCTGCTGCCATGAGAGGCGTCCAGCCGGGCCCTGGAAGACGAGAGGGGGGGCGTGGGGAGAGGGGTGCGTGCAAGAGCCTAAGAGCCTACCACAGTGAGCCAGTAGCCATGGCTCCGCCAGCGGATGGCCCGTGGATGCTTTCTAAGTTGGAATGCAAACGCACATGTCTTTGAGGCGCCTCAAAAATAGCCATGGCTCCGCCAGCAGATGGCCCTTGGATGCTTTCTAAGTTGGACTGCAAACGCTCCCATGCATGTCGGTGCATCTTCCCACCTGTTGAAGGGTGGTGCTTTTGAGAACTTTAAAAATTATTCCACCACACCTCCTCTATACTACCTCACTTGCCCTTGCTAGACAAGCCCTCTCGCGTCAGGCAGCTGCCGCACCACCCTCAGATGGCCCTTGAAAGCTAAGAGCTTTGTAGACCTCAAGACACACTACTTCGTCTCACCTCCCCTGTGCAAGCTCGCATCCCCCTGCCAGTCCAGTCCTCTCCTCCCGCAGTGCGCCAGCAGTCGCCGCACCACCCACAGGTGGCCCTTGAGAGATGCGATGTAGAGAGGGGTCTCCTCACCCCGGTTGCTCACTGCCATGTCGGCACCTGCTTGGAGGAGCACCTGCAGGGAATGGGAGAATGGGAGTGTACGAGTGAGGCCCTTGAGGGCCGCGATGTAGAGAGGAGTCTCTTCCCCTCTGTTGGATGCTGGCAAATCAGATTGGAGGAGAACGTGGGGAGAAGGCAGGAGGGCAAGGAAGGGAGCAGGTGAGGGGGCGCGAGTGTACGAGTGTGAGCCAGCAGCCGCCACACCACCCACAGATAGCTATACAGAGTGTGATAGCTATACAGAGTGTGATAGCTATACAGAGTGTGATAGCTATACAGAGTGTGATAGCTATACAGAGTGTGATAGCTATACAGAATGTGATAGCTATACAGAGTGTGATAGCTATACAGAGTGTGATAGCTATACAGAGTGTGATAGCTATACAGAGTGTGATAGCTATACAGAGTGTGATAGCTATACAGAGTGTGATAGCTATACAGAGTGTGATAGCTATACAGAGTGTGATAGCTATACAGAGTGTGATAGCTATACAGAGTGTGATAGCTATACAGAGTGTGATAGCTATACAGAGTGTGATAGCTATACAGAGTGTGATAGCTATACAGAGTGTGATAGCTATACAGAGTGTGATAGCTATACAGAGTGGAGTTCCCCCCCTCTGTTACTGACTGCCATGTCCGCCCCTGCTAGCAGCAGACCTTGAAGGGAGAGAGAGTGAGAAGAGAGAGTGAGAAGAGAGAGTGAGAATGCTGCCCTGAAACAACACGACATAGAGAGGGGTCTCCTCGCCCCTGTTGCTCACTTCCACGTCCGCCCCTGCTTGCAGGAGTACCTGCAGGGAGGGGGCGTGGGGGCTGCGTGGAGAGGACGTGGCAGTGTGAGAGTGAAGAAGGGCATTCCACGAGGCGACGTAGAGAGGAGTCCCTTCGCCTAAGTTGGATGCCGGCATGTCTGCCCCTGCTTGGAACGGCACCTGGGGTGAATGCAGGATTGGATGGGAGGGGAGAGAGGGAGTGAGGGACGTACCCTCTTCACTCATATCAATGAAACAGCCAAAATTCCCCCCAAAATCCCCCAAAATCCCCAAAAATCCCCAAAAATCCCCAAAAAATCCCCTTCCTTTCCCCCCTGTTCCCCACCACCCACCTCCACGGTCCAAGAGTCCCCCGGCCTCTGCTGCGAGAAACAGTCTATTTTTGAGGCGCCTCAAAAATAGAGTCCCCCAGCCTCTGCTGCTTATCCCATCCCATTCCGCTCCAACTCCCCCCTCTCACCCGCCCGCTCACCTCCACAGTCCAGGCATCCCCCGCCTCTGCTGCGAGAAACAGCGCTGTGGCTCCGCCCTTGTCCTTCATGTTCAGCACTAGCCGCCCCTCGCCCCCCAAGTCAACCTCTCTCTCCCCTCCCCTCTCCCCTCCTCTCTCTTCTTCTTTCTCCCCTACTTTCTCCCCTCCTCTCTCCCCTCCCATGTCATCCTGAGCACAACCTTCTTCTCCTCCCCCTAGCTCGCTGTTATCACCCCCACCATCACCACCACCACAGCCAACACCCGCCACCCCAGCCACCCCAGCCTCACCAGCCCCATCCCCTCCTCCACCTTCTTCCCTCCCGCCCTCTCCTCTCACCCCCTCCAGCCCCTCGTCCCTGCCTTGCCACTCTCGCCACTCCCTCTCCACCTCCTCCTCCTCCCTCTCCCACTCCTCCCACAGTAGTCTATTCATCCTCTCACTATAACTCCCCTCCTCCCCATCCTCTCCCTCCTCTCCCTCTTTTCCCTCCTCCCCTCCCCCTTTCCCCTCCCCTCTCACCTTCCCCCCACAATACACTCTCCCTGGCACCCCCCTTCCCCCCCTCCCCCTGTTCCCCCTGCTCCCCGCGCTCCCCCACTCCCCCCACCTCCCCCACCCCTGCGCCCTTCCCCCCAGCCCAACCACGTCAACCAATGCCTGGGTGCCACGTGTATCCTGCAGCAGGGCTGCCACGTGGAGGGGGGAGCGCTGCTGGGGGCTGCTGCAGCCAGCGGCGGAGCGAAGCGACCAGAGAAGGGCGGAAGGGGGGAGGAAGGGGGGAGGGGAGAGGAGGGCATGCGGGGAGAGGGAGAGGGGGAGCAGCAGCGTTTCCCCCTGCCAGTCCAGGCCACAGCAGCAGTCGTCTGCAGTGCGAGAGGGGGAGGGAGTGCGAGTGGCTTTCACGCACTGCCGGCATAAGAGCTGGGCTTTACCAGCCGCAGCAGTAGACAGGGTCCGAGCAGTAGCAGCAGCAACAGCAGCACTGGGAGCAGCAGCAGCAGCAGGGGTGGGCGTGGCATCGGTTATTGTCTCTGCTGCAGTAACTTGCGCTTTTGTTACTTGCGGTGCTGCCATTTGAGCCGTACCGGCCACAAAGGACGGAAAGTGCCAGTGGATGCGGAGAGGCGTGTGGGCGGCACCTTCAGACGCGCGAGAATGGACTCGGGCGGCGTGGCGGGAGACATGGGCCGCGAGGAGCGCCCCTCGGTCCGTGGAGAGGTCGAGCAGGAGAGGAGGGTGGGGGAGGTGGCGGGTGGCTTCGCTGCATTGAATAGAATGGGGGAAGGAGAGGGGGGAGGGTGGGAGTTGGGGGGGCGGGTTGGGTTTGCTTTGAGTGACGAATGAATCACCTTGGGAGATGTGGACGCTGATAAGAGGCCCCTGGGCCCTGGGCCTGGGCCCTCTCCCCGTGGAGAGGTCGAGGAGGAGAGGCCGGGGTGGGGTAGAGGGTGGTGGCTTTGCTGCATGGAATGGAAAAAGGCGGAGGACGGGGAGGAGGGGGAGGAGGGGGAGGAGGTGGATGAGGGGGAGGAGGGGGAAGAGGGGGAGGAGAGGGAAGAGGGGGAGGAGGAGGAGGAGGAGAGGGAAGTGGGGGAGGAGGGGGAGGAGAGGGAGGAGGGGGAGGAGAGGGAGGAGGGGGGTGGAAAGCTTGGGCTGGGGTTGAGAGGGGGGGTTGGGGGAGGGGCGGGTGGCTTCGCTGCATGGTGGCGAGGTGTTGTTTGATTCGACACTGGGAAAACAGCAGGGGGTGCAAGGAGAACAGTTATGAGGCGCCTCAAAGCTAGACTCCTATCAAGCTTCGTCTACACTGCTGCTCATCTCTATCGTGGTTAACAGCAGGGGGTGCAAGGAAAACAGTTTTGAGGAGCTAGAATCCTATCAAGCTTCGTTTACTCTGCTGCTCATCTCTATCGTGGCAAACAGCAGGGGGTGCAAGGAGAACGAGAGAAGTGGCCACCTGCCTCACCTCACGCCGTCCATCACCCCCTTGCCTCAGAGAGTCACCTCCACCAGTTGCAGCCCTCCTGGCAGAGGGGTGACTGTCGATTGGCCCCTTTTCCCTCTTACCTGATGTCATCCATAACACCCCTGCCCCAGAATGACACCTCCCCCAGGCACAGCCTCTCCAGCAGAGGGGTGAGCATAGATTCCTTTCTGTTCTCACCTGATATCGTCCATCACACCCCTGCCCCAGAATGACACCTCCACCAGTCGCAGCCTCCCCAGCAGCACCGCCAACCAACCAAGCACCTCCCCCGGCCGCACCTGTCCTCTCACCTCCCCCTCCCCCCATCCCGCAAATCGGTCCGTGCCTCCTCTGTTCCCAGCTGCTGCTGCTGCTGCTGCTGCTGCTGCGGCATCTGCTGCTGCTGGTGCAAATGCTACTGCTGGCGTTGATGCTGCTGGCGTGGCTGCTGCTGTTTGTGCTGCTGCTCCTCCCACTGCTGCTGCTGCATCTGCTGCTCTCGGTAAGGGGGAGGCAGATGCTAAGCGGGAGAGCAGGGAGGGCGGGGCGGTGTGGGGAGGGAGCGAGAGGAGGAGGCGGGAGAGCGAGGGCAGGGAGAGGGCGTCAGGGAGGAGGGGGAAGGAGGAGCCGCCGAGGCAGAGGACCTCGAGACTGGGGCAGGTGAGAGCCTAACGTGGGGAGGGATACAGAGATCGGGGAAGTGGGACGTGGCAGGGAGAGAGCGAGGGCAGGGGGAGGGCGTTAGGGAGGAGGGGGAAGGAAGGAGGAGCCGCCGAGACAGAGGACCTCGAGGGAGGGGCAAGTGAGAGCCTGGTGGGGGGGGGAATATAGGAATGCTGGTGGTGGGGAGCCTGCTGGTGGTGGGGAGCCTGCTGGTGGTGGGACAGATGACTTTTGATTCGACTCATGCGTGAGGAGTCTATTTTTGAGGCGACTCAAAAGTCAATTTGACAGGGAACCGTGATGAGCGATGGCAGGGTGGTAGGGAGCAGGGGGAGGGTGGTAGGGAGCAGGGGGAGGGTGGTAGGGAGCAGGGGGAGGGTGGTAGGGAGCAGGGGGAGGGTGGTAGGGAGCAGGGGGAAGGAGGAGCCGTCTAGACAGAGGACTTCTAGGGACGGGAAACTGAGAGCCTGCATGGAAGTGGGGGAAGTATGGCATCGGGGGGAGGAAAATAGCAAAGGAAGAGAGGGAGTTACAGGGGAGCCGGGGAAGAATGGGGAGGGGCGGGCTTCCCACTCCTGCTCCCTAGTAGGAGCAGGAAGAGAGGATGAGGAGAGGAATAGCAACCAAGGGAGGAGAACAAAGATTTCTCACTGTGCCCGCAAGACTCGCACTTAAACCTGCAACGTTTGCGCCATGGCTGCCCTGCAGTGCTGTTGACTTAGCCACAGTTCCCACGGTGAGCCGCACAGCGTTGGCTGCCCTTGGCAGAGTCTTGTTGGGGAGAGGGAGCGGCCTTTTCTCACCATTAAGTTTGATATTTTGCTACAAGGCACAGAAACGTGCGTAATTGCGTCTTCATAAGGCACGCAATTTCGCACAAGGAGCTACGCTTCTCACAATCAGCCGCAGCGCTCTGCTCGGCGTGAGAGCGCCTGGCAAGAGTGGAGGGAGAGGGAGCAGGCGTTTCTCGTTATAAACTGACCTGCTTTTGTACTAGGTGAATAAGCATCACAGCTTCACTACACTGTACTCGTTTCTTACGATGAGCTGGAGCGCTTTTCCTGAGAGCGCTTGGCAGGAGTGAAGCGAGAGGGAGCGCAGGGAGGAGGGGCGGTGGAGAGCTCGAGACACCGCTGCTGGGAAGGAGTCTGGGGTGAGGGGGAGGGGGAGGGGGAGGGGGAGGGGGAGGGGGGGGGGGGTGCGGGGGGGAGATGGGGACGGAATACATGGAAGTTTGGGAGGAGAAGCGAAGTGTGGATGTATGGATGAAGGGGAAGGGGAGGGAGAGTGAGCGAAGGGAGTTGGCGCAGTGGGAGACACCGCTGCCGGGAAGGAGTCTGGTGTAGACCTGGGCATGAGCCGAGCCTGGCTCGGCTTGGCTCGTTTGGGGTCGAGCCGAGCCGGCTCGCCGGTCAAGCCGAGCCGGCTTGGCTCGCCTCGAGCCGGGTCCTCAGGATCCCCGGCTCGGCTCGGCCTGTCAGGGGGGCTTGTGCGGGCTCTCAATTGGGGCCACGGGGTTTGGGATCTCTGATTCGGGGCCTGGTCCAGATTGTTTAGCTGATCGTCTGCTTCTACAAGTTACAAAACTCTCAGGAGGTGCTGCAGGTTTCATTACGGCAGACTGAGGGCGATAGACCAGGGCGACAGGGTGAGGCTAGGGTTGGAAGACGAAATGGGCGCTGGGGGGTTTGTTGATCTGAGATTTGACAGTCGCGAAATCCCCCCTTTCCTGAGCCATGAGCCGGCTGGCTCGAAATCGAGCCAGCTCGAGCCGGCTCAACTCCGGCTCGCCAGATTTCACGAGCGCGAGCCGAGCCGAGCCGCCAGCTCGAGTCGAGCCGGGTACCAAAAAAGAAGGCTCGACTCGCATTAATGGTGAGGCGAGGCGAGCCGAGCCAGGTGTGGCTCGGCTTGTGCCCATGTCTAGTCTGGGGTGGTGATGATGGGGGCAAGGGCGGAGGGAAAGAAGGGGGTGTTAAGTGATTTCTTCGGTCTAGGGTTTAGCCCACTAAACCCCTTGCTGGGTGTGTCCCCCTAACCCCTGGACCCCCAGACCTTAAAACCCGAATTCCCCTAAATATGTGCATGTGATGTTGTAGGCTGTCCACCACCCACCCTCCCCCCCCCATCCCCCACCACTCACCCTCCTCCTCTTTCTTCTGAGTCAATCCAAGAAACGCCATAAGCCCATCCTCCTCTGAAGGCTCGCTCTGGGCGGCACTTGGGGAGGTTGTATCTGCAGCAAGGGAGGTGTTATCTGCTGCTGCTTCTGCTGCTGCTGCAGGTGTTGGTGGTGATGGGGCTAGGGGTTGTGGAGGTGCCACGTGGCGCACAGAAAGCCTGTCCACGTGGCTGAAGAGGAGAGCAGTCAGCAGGGAGCCTTCTTTCCTGGAAGCTTCGAGGAGGAGGAAAACGGTGCGGGGGGTGAGGCCGAAGCAGCGATGGAGAGAGATGGTGGAGAGGGAGGGGGAGGAGGCGAGGGGCGATGCCACCGCATCTGTGCTGGAAAGGGGAGAAAGGAAAAGCGGAGGAGGGAGAGAGAAGAGTGCAGAAACAGCAAGGTGTGAGCGGTGAGGCCGACACAGCGGTGGAGGGAGACGGTAGAGAGGGAGGGGGAGGAGGCGAGGAGAGGGGCTACGGCGTCAGTGCTGGAAGGGGGGAGGGGGGGGAGAGGGGAGGAGGGGAGGAGGGGAGGAGGGAGAGAGAGGAGGAGGGAGATTGGGGAGCGCACACAGCGGAGAATGTGGGGTTTGAGGCTGAAGCAGCGGTGGAGGGAGAGGGTGGAGAGGGAGGGGGAGGAGGCGAGGAGAGGAGCTACTGCGTCTGTCCTGTAAAGGGGAGAGAGGGGAAGAGGGGAGGAGAGGAAGAGGAGAGACGGAGATGGGAGGAGGAGGCGAGGGGGATAAGAGGGAGCAGCGCATAACGGAGCAGCGCATAACGGAGCAGCGCATAACGGAGCAGCGCATAACGGAGCAGCGCATAACGGAGCAACGCCTAGAGACTAATGAAATGCTGAGCTTTCACCACTTGCAAACCTGGAGGCGCCTTCACAATGCCATCACGCCTTATCTCAGCCCTTCCCAGCCACTCATAAGTCCTCCCAACCACTTCACAAACCTTTCCAGTCACTCACAGCTTCCTGCAGTTATCCAGCACCAGCACTTGCATCCTAGCCAGCGAGGACACACACGCCGCCACGTCAGCATCGGAGACTGCTGAACTGGCAAGTGACAGCGTGTGCAGCAACGGCGCCATGTGTGCAATCCCCCGTACTGCCTGGGAGCACCACGTAGAGCTGTGTAAGGGGAAGGATGCGATAGGCTCGCTGGCTTTTTGCTCACGTGGCACATTCCCATTGGCCACGTCCTTTCGAGAGACACGTGGCCTATCCCTCTGCAAGAGCGACAGTTGGAGAGGCGCCGAGGCGGCCGCCGCGCGAAGAAAGCGACAGACGCTCCGCACGGCGACGACGTCGCGCGGATCGCTCAGCGATCGCGAGAGAATGTGGGCGACGACTGGGGCTGGCAAGTCGCACAGCGACGGCAAATTCGATGCCAGATCGCATGTTGAATTCGCTGTGCAACCTAGGGTTTCCGATCTAGGAGCTAATGGACCCGGCTTGCGCGGCGAGATTCCTCCCGTGCTGGAATTGTCTTGATCAGGGGATGACGTGGCGGCCATGGCTGCCAGACGAACTGCTCAGCCTGAACCGTGAAAAAACACAATGGTTCGCCACTGGCAAACGCGGTCCCGAATTTTCAGCGGAGCGTAGTAGTGGGGCTAAGCGAATTTCTGGTTGCAGTGCGATCTAGCTGCTCTGTCGCCCTGCAGCAGCCTCCACTCATGTTGACAATGGATGGTTTTCTTGCTGGGATTGAACGACAGCCATGGCATGGCAACTGCAAGGGAGTCCATGGCAACAGCATGGCAACTCAAGATACTGTACCAAGCATTTTACGCTTCGTTTGGGGTGGGGTTTTCATATAAGATAATAACTGTAATGATATTTGAAGCTGGAAGTCTTATAACCTACTAATAATTACACTATAGCGCATGCTTTATTCATGAGGCTGGTGGACGGGCTAAACCGAAGCCCGCCAATAGAACAGCACGGTGCAGGGCACTTCTTTCGCGAGCCAGGTCCTGAACCATTTTCCGTTTCGCTGGACGCTCCATTCGCGAAAACTCATCTGAGCACAGCTCGCTGACCGACAGTCTTGCCGTTCAGCGAAGCTCTTTCGGCGAGGGCCGATGGTTTTCACAGAGCCAGCGACGATGGCGCGTCGTGAACCGACAAGCGGAGGGGACGGCCCTACGAGCCGCGTGGCGGAACACGGTTTCGCAATCACAGGCGGAGAATTTCTCACCCTAGGCACACGCGGGTTTCTCCAGCCCTGCGACGAGGCTTCCCCGCAGCGACTCGAGCAAAAACCGGTGTGCGACGGCGTCAGATGCTCAGAGCCCTCAGATGTGGTCGCACGCGACTCGGTTCGTCCGATCCACTTCAAAATGCAATTGTTTGAGCAGCATTGTGCATCCATCGCCTCGCCTCGCCTCTCTGTCACGAACAGTGCAGTCATTGCTCTGCTCTGCCATTCCCCTGATCACTCAGATTTTCCATTTCCCCGCGATTGCTCTGCTCTGCCATTCCTCCTCCCAGCTCTCCTCCTGCTTGTTTCAGCACAACGCTCCCCCTAGAACTGATTAGACTCACGCTAAGCAGGAGCGCCTGTGTTATTCCTCGCGCTCTATCACTATACACTTTGCAGCCAGCCTTATACAATGGGTTCGTTCCCCCGTGTAGCCCTCCTAGCGATTATCGTGCTATCATGGCACAGCAGCAGTCTAGTGTGCGCACTTAAAGCCAAGGAAGTGAACCGCGCCGTCAACAGCATCTCGCAACGGCCGGCATACCAAGCGATTCATCAATTCGTCGACGACTATCGTAAGTCTCAGCAAAAATCAACGCTATCTTTCATGATAATTCCAGGAGTACTTCAGCTTTTTCTTTCTTCCTCCCGACTTTCTCCCTTCTGCCGCCAAGCCTTCGCCGTAAATGTCAATGATCATCAAAACCTCATTCTTCCCCACCCCGTTACCCCTTTTTTTCTCCAGTGAAAAAACAGATCCCACTTACCGACATAACCATTCTTCTCCCAGCGAACATCGCGGCGCTACAGGGCTACACCAAGGACCAGCAGACCGCCATTCTCTCGTACAACACCATCGCGACGCGCTACCTCTTCCGCAACCTCACCGACATTCCCCCGGGTACGGAGATCGACACCATTGACGGCAACCTCGTCGCGAAGCGCGGCCCCAAGGGCCAGCCGATCGTCACGTTCCAAGGCGCCGCGAAGCTGCCGACCGCGCTCCTCGTGCCGAACCTGTGGGTAGGTTCGGACTTCACGATCCAGGGCACCAGCACGCTGCTGATCCCCCCCGATCTGGTCGCCGGGTCGGGAGCGAACACCGCTAGTAGCCGCGGCGGGATTGGACGCGCAATCGGCGGTGCTGTGAGGGGTACCGTCCGTGGCACGATCGGCGGAGTTGCCTCTCTTTTCAGGCCCTCGCCTCGCCCGTAGATGCTCACGCAATGGGGCGCTAAAAAACTAATGATATCTTAATCTAGGAGGTGCGATCATAGAGGGGAACCTTAGGGTGCGTTCCTAATTTCGTGTCTTAAACTTTCAAAAAGTCCTGACACGGGGGTAGGGGCATGTCCCTGGTCCATGAGTAGGTTTTAGTGGGAAAATGGGTAGCTGCGCTCCAGCTCTCTATTCTCGAGTGTGTATCTAAACTAGGACACATGTATGCACATTGCTAATGGAAAAGCAACAGCAACATACGTAATGCAACAGCAATTTGGGCTGGTACTGTCAAAAGGCCTTAGGTGACGCCTCAGTGTGAAAAAAAACAGGGGGGAAGAAATGAGGAGCAAGCGGGGGGGAAGATGCTGCGCTGGGGGAAAGGGGGGGTGTGGGGGAAGAGGAGAGGGAGGAGAGAAGTAGGAGAAAGTGGGTAATGGAGGTGGATGGAAGTCTTTGAACGGAATGAAATGATGGGATAGTGAGAGAGTACAAGGGTATATACCTAAGAGTGTTGTACCCTCTAAGAGGTGACCCTATACAGTCTATACAAACATGAGTTATGCTTATGTTTGACACACACCCTAGACTGCATAGGGGAATGACCTGAACAAGCAGCTCAGGGCGGCACTACTAGTCCAACCTCTGAGACAAGGGTCTAAAAGACCAGTTAGACGGAGTTGAGACAAGGCAAGAACAAGACCAGGGTAGCACTACTAGTCCAGCCACTGGAAGAGGACACAAGTCCAGTCTGAGTATGCATATAAAGGACAGTACAAAGTCAAGGCCCTAGCAAGTGAGAGGCTACAGGAACTAGACCAAGCTGTACGCAGTGCCGCTGATGATCTTTAGGCGCAAGCGCCTTCGTAAAGATATCAGCTGTGTTGGCACCTGAGGCCAAGTGTACTACGCGAGCCTGGCGTCGCTGCTGTAGCTCGCGCAGGAGGAAGTATCGCAGTTGAATATGCTTCGCTCTGCCCTCGAGTCGAGGCTCCTGACACAGGAGGATCATGGCCCTGTTGTCAGCGAACAGGACCGGGGCAGAGCTAGGCCGCTCACCTAAGTCAGTGAGCAAGAAGGTCAGCTAGCGGAGCTCCTGTGCCGCCATGGCACCAGCGTAGATCTCAGCCTCACAGCTGGACTGGGCAACAGACGAGGAGCGAGTAGCTCTCCACGAGACGGCACCTGAGCCAAGGCTGAAGCAGTAGCCCTGGGTAGATCTGAGTGTCTCGGCATCGTCTGCCCACGAAGCGTCTGTGTGTCCAGTAAGGACCACTGGCATGCGTCCTCCTAGCACTAACCCCATGCCCGATGTACTAGCAAGATAACGCAAAACCCTCTTAGCGGCAGACCAGTGCTGAGGTCGGTGTCTGCCTGTGGCCACAAAGCGAGCCAGGATGCTGAGAGGGTACGCGAGATCTGGGCGAGTGCAAGTCATCAGGTACATGAGGCAACCCACCAGCTCTGCGTAGGGGCCGCTGGGCTCTACCGACTCCTCAGACACTAGAGCGGAGAGTCTGTGGTCTACAGGCAGAGGGGTGGGCTGTGCAGAGGAGAACTGAAGGCTGAACCTCTGAAGGACCTGGCGCACCAAGTGTGACTGAGTCACGGTGATGGTGCGCGCTGCTCTGTCCCTGGAGATCTGCAAGCCAAGGTAACGGCGCAGTTCTCCAAGGTCAGTGCACGTGTGTCTCTTCAGCAGCTCTGCCTCCACTGAGGCTAGTGCGTCCCTGTCTGCTGTGGCAAAGACCAGGTCGTCGACGTAAACAAGGATGTAGAACGGAGTCTGGCCAGCACGAACGAAGAGTGAGGGGTCTGCGGAAGACGGAAAGAACTGCAGGTCAGCAAGCGTAGCACGGAGAGTGTCGTGCCACTCACGGGGAGCCTGGCGCAGGCCGTAGACGGGGCGCCGCAGGAGCCACTGGGTCCCAGGAGGGAAGGTGCCAGTAAAGCCCTAAGGGCGACGCAAGTGGACCTGCTCGTGTAGGCTGCCCTGAAGGAAGGCAGTGGAGAAGTCGAGGGAGTGAAGCTCGTAGTCACGCTGAGCAGCTAGGTCTAACAGAACCCGAAGAGTAGTCATCTTCGGGGTCGGAGCGAAGGTCTGGAAGAAGTCCACCCCCTCACGCTGACTGAAGCCTCTAGCCACGTAGCGCGCCTTGAACACAGGCGGCTCTCCAGGGGGGCGCTTCACCTTGAAGAGCCAGCGGCCATCGACTACGTTCACCCCAGGCGGGGGAACTGCATCAACGAAGGTGCCGGTGGATCTCCAAGATGCCATCTCCTGCTCCATGGCAGCTATCCACTGAGAGGCCCAAGGTCCCGAGGTCGCCTCAGCGTAAGTGCGAGGGGTCGGGATGTCGAAAGCGTCAGGGTCACCCTCAGGGACTAGCAGCATGGAACAGAGATGGGGAGCAGCCTCGGACAGGAAAGCAAGCTCAAACTGGCGGTCCTCCAGGACGTCATTGCCAAGGGCAGGAGCACCCCCGACAGACGGAGGACAGGCAGGGTCAGAGACCAGAGCGGTGGCGTAGTCAAGGCGGCGGGTAGAGGCGAAGTCAGCGACCGCAGCAACAAGAGCGTCAAGGCACGAGACCGGAACAGACGGGTCGGTAACGAGAGAGGCAAGGACCTGAGGAACAAGAGGACGAGCGGCACGAAGGTAGTCAGACAGCGGGGGGGGGTGCAACAACAAGGGAGGACGGAGGAGGCGACGGGAGAAGGGGAGGACGAGACGCGTGGGAACGAAGCAACATAGGGTGGGAGCGCAAGACAGGCGAGGCAGGACGAGCACGGGAGGGACGGTGAGACCAGACGTGCGACGGAGGAGTCGGGTCAGGAGACAGGGGAGGGGACACAGGAGGGGAACGAGGAGGAAGACGGGCCGGGGACGAGTCCGGCGGAGGGAACACAGGGCCGTAGACGGGAAGAGGAGGAGACGGTCGGAGAGGAACAGCCGCAGGGTCAGGGGACGGAAGGCCGAGCAGGCGAAGGGCTGACACCGGCGGGGACTGCTGCTGCGGCGGCACAACGGCAACACCGGGACCGCAAGCGGCTCCGCGGCTACCACCGGCACACTCCACACCAGCACCCCCAGAGGATCCACCCCCAGGGCGACCTGGACTAGCACCCCCAGAGTCAACGAACGGGTGCTGCGACGGCGGCGGCGGCGGCGGCTGCGACAACGACGGCTGCAGCAGCGGCAGAGGCGGTGGAAGAGGGGACTGGGGAGGGGACGCCGGGGGAGGGGCGGCCGGCGAGGACTGGGCAGCAGGGCCACCAGAGTCAGAAGACTCCTCAACCGGGTCCACCGACGGAAGGGGGGTGACGTGGGACACACCAGAGGGGGCAGGACGGGGAGGAGGAGGGGGAGGGGCAGGGACTACCGGGGAAGGAGTGACCAGGAACAGGGGGGGGGTAACCGGGGGACCGCGGTGGGGGAAGCGACGGTAGTAGGAGACGGACTCGTCAAAGGTGACGTCGCGAGAGTGAAAGAAGCGGTGAGACGGCGGGTGGTAAAAGTGCCAGTCGGACGCGTCAAGGGGAAAGCCGAGGAAGACGCAGGGAAGGGTGCGGGCAGTGAGCTTGTCCGTGCCGGAGGCACGGACGTGAGCAAGGCAGCCCCAGGCGTGGAACGCAGACGCATCACCAGGAGACCCAGTCCAAAGACGGGTCGGCGAAACCTGCGGCTGCTGAGGGTGCGGCCACAAATTAAGCTGGTGAGAAGCGTAGCACACAGCGAACGGTCACAGAAAATGGGGTGCACCGGCATGGATCATGGAGGTGCGAGCCACCTCCATGACCAAACCGATGCGTCGCTCAGCGACCCCATTCTGCTGTGGGGAGTCCGGTAGGGTGAACGTCTGGGTGATGCCCTCCGCACGACAAAAGCGACCAAGGACACCGGAGGCAAACTCGCCACCACGGTCGGAGTGAAGACGCAAGACAGGGAGACCGCGGTGGACACGCGCAGAGACAAGCCAGGGGATGAGAGCGCCAGGCACGTCGGCCTTGCGCTCCAGGGGAAAGACTGTGGTGTAACGAGTGAAGTCGTCGACAAGCACAAGGAAGTAGCGCTCTCGACGCGGCCCAGGGACGGGGGCGAGGCCCCAGACATCCAGGTGCAGGGTCTGCAGTGGCGCGGCGGTAGGGGGAAACGAGGAGGAGTGCGGGGCACGGCGAAGCCGACCCTCAACACAAGGCGTGCAAGGTGGGGCTGGGGAGGAGGGAAACGCGGGGAGAGAACCTGGGAGACCAAGGACAAGACCGTGCTGGGACATGTGACGCAGACGCGGGAGCGTAGGCTGACCTAGGCGGTGGTGCCAAAGGAGAGTCGGGTGAGTGAGGGACCGACAGGAGCAGGCAGCAGCAACCTGGGTAGACGCAGCCACCTGAGGGAGCGCTCCAGCCGGGGGGGTCACGGTGTCCAGAGTGAACAGGCCGGACACCGGGTCCCGGGGGAACGTGGACAGGGGGGCACCCGTGGCGGCCTCGGTACAGACAGCATACCGCTCGTGACCAGGGAACGTAGTGGTGACGCCAAGGTCCTGGAGGCAGCCGACACCAACTAGGTTCCTGGAGAACGAGGGGATATGCAGATCTGTGAGAGTGCCCGAAGGAACCGCCGGACAGGGAAGGGTGGTGGAACTGCGGGCGACGACCGGACCGCCGGAGGGGTCAGCAAGAGAAACGGCAGCAGGAACAGGAAGCGGCGTCAGTGTGGTGAAGTCACGGAAGAAACACCGGGAAGCGCCAGAGTCCAAGGTGAAGGAAAGCGAAGCAGAGGCGTCTGGCGACGGAACGACGGCGGAAGCACCAAGACTACACAAAGCAGGGGATCCTACGCCTGACGCAGCAGGGGAGGCTAAGCTAGGCACACCTACACTAGCCGACAGTGAGTAATAAGCGGGAAGCACACTAGAGTCATCAGCATACATCACATGCAGAGCAGAAACAATGGCATCCATGTCCATGTAAAAAATCTGAATCTTACGACTAAGCAAACTGTGCCAGTCCGGGAGGTCTGGCGACGGGCCGAAGCGCTGACGAAACAGGTCGTCTAGGCGACGAAAACAGCGAGGAGTGGAGTGACCGATCTTACCGCAAACGAAGCCGCGGCGAGGACCGGTCTGGATCTGGTACTGACAACGCATGCCTCCAGAGCCACCACTCGGCACACCACCACGGCCCTTCCCCGAACGAAACTGCGCTGCAGCAGCAGTCTCAGCCACAGCGGCAGAGCCGTCGGAGAAGGT